CTTGACTATCCAGGGTGTTCAGTGGGCTTGATTGATCAGGGCAATGCAAAAAGGTGAGGCCACAAGCACAAGAATTTTATGGCACCCATAAAGTACAGTACACAGGCTTTGCTCAATTTTATGCTGTTAAACGAAGCATTTGGTATCATATGGCACTTTAAGGGCTTTGATTTATGTTAAGGCAGAAACTGCAGCTGTAATAAACACTCTAAAGGATGAGTTTAAGAGCAATGTGCTGTATTTATTTGTGACATAAACACTCACCTGCAATGCATTTGAGAATCATCTCACAGGGCACATTGCAGCCATTAAGCTTCAGGCACAGCAAGGTCACATCCAAGGAGAAGATGGAAGTGGCTGGGAAGAAAGGGGTGGCAGAGCAAATATTTTGAAAGAGCAAATGGAAAAAGATTCTTTTTTTTTCTCCTGATAAATGGTCCCCAAACGTGACTATAATTTCTGAAAGAGTCTCACATTGCCCTGAACAAGGTAAAGTTCAAATCCAGTCTTGTTGAATATGAAATATTTAAGCACACGGCCGTGAAAATAACATGGAAGTAAATATAATAAAATTATGTGTTTCAGGTTTATGAAATGTCCCTCAGGGAGGATGGAAAGCACAGGAACCCTGTTTTGTCCTGGGCCCTGCTATGGATGTGCTCCCTGTCAAGGAGCCCCCCACCATTACCTTTGCTATTTGGGTATTGAATTAATTATGCTCAGTGGAACTTGCTTGAGAGTAACATAAAGTAATAATTTTTTAATTATTTAGGTAGCTTTAAATATAGCCTAAATAGCCTAATCCTTCCAACTTTGCCTATTTGTCTATGACAGTCACAGTGTGGGAGAGTGGGAATCATTAAGTGAAATTATCAGGAATTAATGACAGGGCTTCACTGGCAGAGCAGGACAAAGGCTCATGCATTAGTTCCTTTGGGAATCACAGAATAAGTGAATTCAGGTGGATCTCCCCTTTGGCAAACACAGCTGAATCTGGCCATAATATTATCATAGAATCATGGAATGTTTTGGGTTGGAAAGGATCTTAAAGATCATCTAGATCCACCCCCCTACCATGGGCAGGGACACCTCCCAGCAGCCCAGGCTGCTCCAAGCCCCATCCAACCTGCCCTTCAACACTGCCAGGGATGGGGCAGCCACAGCTTCCCTGGGCAACCTGGGCCAGGCTCTCACCACCCTCACAGCACAGAATTCCCTCCTCATGTCCAACCTAAATCTGCCCTTTTCCAGTTTTAATCCATCCCCCCTTGTCCTCTCACTACAAGCCCTTTAAAAAAGTCTCTTCCCAGAAATTCCACCCTACACCAGACATTTCAGTCCAATATGCCCACTCTCCAGGGATTTTTCCTGCTGCTTTGATGATGGGGAATAGAAAGACCTTTTGAGATCTAGGAGATAAAATCAGTTTTTTCCTTGATCTTCCTTCAAATAAACTGGCTGATAAAATTGATCAAAAGTTGCAGAAAACAGTTTCAGTGGGATCCTTGGTCAAAACAGCTTCGTGTTGAGTTACACAGCAGGCAGGTCTGAAAGGGATGAGAGAGTTATCGAGGATGAAAGCAAAGTATCACTGCTTGAGGCAACGATAAAGCTGGAGGTGGGAAGATCTCTGGATCAGAGAGACCTAGGAAAGTGCTGGGTGCATGGCAAGGCTCTCCTAAAATAACTGTGCTCTTCTCCCTTCCACAGGCTGGCACTCTGCTCTCCCTTGTCTCTGTGACCATCACGGATTCTCCTTTATCGCTGCCCCACGAGAGCCAGGGGGGCTGCGTGGCCCGGCGGTGCCTGCGGGCTCCTTCAGGTGGGCAGGAACCCCTGGAGAGCATCGCTCGGGTTCTTCAGGGGGATCCGCAGCTCCAGGACCTCCGTGCCTTGAAAGAGCAGCTGCAGGAGCCGCAAAGGGCTGCGCTGGTTTTAAGGACCCGACCAGTTTGCGGCAGTGGAAAATGTGGCCCCAGGTCATCGTTTCCTCCTGACACTTTAGTCGAACGACACGTTGGGAGGGAAGAGTTCACAGCGGGTGCACCACGAGCAGGGTTTCCCGTTTCATTCTGACTTTCTGGCGTGGTTGCTGATCGAAAGGGAGGGCGGCCGGGAAGGGGGAACCTCTTGCTTCTCAGCCACTGCCCTTCCCTCTGCCACCCCGAGCAGGCGGGTCAGCCCTCTGGCTCAAACAACGGGCGCTTCTGCCCTGGCGGAGAGCGGATTTCAAGCAGAAGGCACCACCTGACGCCGCCACACGAGGTTTAAGTCACGGTTTCAGGGGGGGTTTGTCTAACGAGAGCGGCTCAAACAACACGAGGTTCATCGCCCCGAGGCGCGCAGGGCGGGGGGAACGTCCCCCCCGGAGCTTCTGCATCTCCCCGATTAGCGGGGCCCGGCGGCTTTTTGTCGCGTCTGTTTGCTCGTGTCAGCGGCGGGAAGGGACCACGGTGGGAGGGGGCGGGATCTCTGTGCTTCCAGCCCCTTGGAATGCGGGAGCGGGTCCCTCTGCTGGCGAGGGATGGATGGAGGGACCCGGCGGCGGATCACGTGAGCGCGCGGATCACGTGAAGCGCGCGGATCCAGTGAGCGCCCGGGTCGGCAGAGCAAATATTTTGAAAGAGCAAATGGAAAAAGATTCTTTTTTTTTCTCCTGATAAATGGTCCCCAAACGTGACTATAATTTCTGAAAGAGTCTCACATTGCCCTGAACAAGGTAAAGTTCAAATCCAGTCTTGTTGAATATGAAATATTTAAGCACACGGCCGTGAAAATAACATGGAAGTAAATATAATAAAATTATGTGTTTCAGGTTTATGAAATGTCCCTCAGGGAGGATGGAAAGCACAGGAACCCTGTTTTGTCCTGGGCCCTGCTATGGATGTGCTCCCTGTCAAGGAGCCCCCCACCATTACCTTTGCTATTTGGGTATTGAATTAATTATGCTCAGTGGAACTTGCTTGAGAGTAACATAAAGTAATAATTTTTTAATTATTTAGGTAGCTTTAAATATAGCCTAAATAGCCTAATCCTTCCAACTTTGCCTATTTGTCTATGACAGTCACAGTGTGGGAGAGTGGGAATCATTAAGTGAAATTATCAGGAATTAATGACAGGGCTTCACTGGCAGAGCAGGACAAAGGCTCATGCATTAGTTCCTTTGGGAATCACAGAATAAGTGAATTCAGGTGGATCTCCCCTTTGGCAAACACAGCTGAATCTGGCCATAATATTATCATAGAATCATGGAATGTTTTGGGTTGGAAAGGATCTTAAAGATCATCTAGATCCACCCCCCTACCATGGGCAGGGACACCTCCCACCAGCCCAGGCTGCTCCAAGCCCCATCCAACCTGCCCTTCAACACTGCCAGGGATGGGGCAGCCACAGCTTCCCTGGGCAACCTGGGCCAGGCTCTCACCACCCTCACAGCACAGAATTCCCTCCTCATGTCCAACCTAAATCTGCCCTTTTCCAGTTTTAATCCATCCCCCCTTGTCCTCTCACTACAAGCCCTTTAAAAAAGTCTCTTCCCAGAAATTCCACCCTACACCAGACATTTCAGTCCAATATGCCCACTCTCCAGGGATTTTTCCTGCTGCTTTGATGATGGGGAATAGAAAGACCTTTTGAGATCTAGGAGATAAAATCAGTTTTTTCCTTGATCTTCCTTCAAATAAACTGGCTGATAAAATTGATCAAAAGTTGCAGAAAACAGTTTCAGTGGGATCCTTGGTCAAAACAGCTTCGTGTTGAGTTACACAGCAGGCAGGTCTGAAAGGGATGAGAGAGTTATCGAGGATGAAAGCAAAGTATCACTGCTTGAGGCAACGATAAAGCTGGAGGTGGGAAGATCTCTGGATCAGAGAGACCTAGGAAAGTGCTGGGTGCATGGCAAGGCTCTCCTAAAATAACTGTGCTCTTCTCCCTTCCACAGGCTGGCACTCTGCTCTCCCTTGTCTCTGTGACCATCACGGATTCTCCTTTATCGCTGCCCCACGAGAGCCAGGGGGGCTGCGTGGCCCGGCGGTGCCTGCGGGCTCCTTCAGGTGGGCAGGAACCCCTGGAGAGCATCGCTCGGGTTCTTCAGGGGGATCCGCAGCTCCAGGACCTCCGTGCCTTGAAAGAGCAGCTGCAGGAGCCGCAAAGGGCTGCGCTGGTTTTAAGGACCCGACCAGTTTGCGGCAGTGGAAAATGTGGCCCCAGGTCATCGTTTCCTCCTGACACTTTAGTCGAACGACACGTTGGGAGGGAAGAGTTCACAGCGGGTGCACCACGAGCAGGGTTTCCCGTTTCATTCTGACTTTCTGGCGTGGTTGCTGATCGAAAGGGAGGGCGGCCGGGAAGGGGGAACCTCTTGCTTCTCAGCCACTGCCCTTCCCTCTGCCACCCCGAGCAGGCGGCTCAGCCCTCTGGCTCAAACAACGGGCGCTTCTGCCCTGGCGGAGAGCGGATTTCAAGCAGAAGGCACCACCTGACGCCGCCACACGAGGTTTAAGTCACGGTTTCAGGGGGGGTTTGTCTAACGAGAGCGGCTCAAACAACACGAGGTTCATCGCCCCGAGGCGCGCAGGGCGGGGGGGACGTTCCCCCCGGAGCTTCTGCATCTCCCCGATTAGCGGGGCCCGGCGGCTTTTTGTCGCGTCTGTTTGCTCGTGTCAGCGGCGGGAAGGGGGG